TAGGTTAGGTTATCGGGTTTTGTTCAAGTGACCACCCTCTTTCGATCCCTTACCTCCACCCGCTTGAAAATAATTATTTTATTGAATTTTATTTGAACTATAGTGTATGAAAATTGTCAAAATAATCAAATTTCAACCCCCATAACTTTTTATGGGGGTGAGACCGCCGCAAAAATTTTATGGGGTTTTACTCAGGTGACCACCCTCTTTCGATCCCGCCTACACCCATCTCCTTCGGGGCGGGGGCCATCATCTAACCCCCATAAATTTTTATGGGGGTGAGACCGCCACGAACTTTTTATGGTATAGTGGTGGGGGAGACCTCCTCTTTCGATCCCACCCACTACTACCCCCTTAGGGGGTGGGGGCCATCATCTAAACCTTTACCGTGATTTCTTTTTGTCTGACTTCCCAGGTATCGAAAGCAAGCAAGTAAATGCATACCAAAAGTATTTAAAAGAGACTACAGAACCAACTTTGTGTCACGTACCTATTTTACTGCACGATGGGTCTTGTAAGGATGTTTATGTTTGTTTCAGATGCTCATGAAAAATCGAACTTGCGATTTTCTATCGATCCGGCGCATGGAGAATCGGGCTTTTCCCAATGGAAAACTGCTATGAAAATGGTTGTGCAACTTCCGGAAGGCATTCCCGCCGAATTCCGTAAAAAATTGTGGATAAACTTATCGGAAAAGTATTTGTCGTCGCGAAACGTAAACTGGAATAAAGTCGAGGCGGAATGTTTCAGCGAATGGGCGAATCCTGCTGACACAGAACTTGACGTTCAAATCGTCAAGGATTTACATAGGACAGGATGCAGTTTATTTTGTGGAGAAAACGGCCAGGAAAAACAAGCAATCTTGAAGAAGGTGCTTCTGGCTTATGCCAGGTGGAACAAACATGTTGGTAAGTAAAAGGAAACTGAATATAAATCAAATATCTTTTCGTTTGGAATTATCATCAAAATAAGTACACTTTTTCTCTTAAAACAATTCATTGAATTATCAACAAAATTTCTATTTATTTCTTAAATAATACTACCGGAAAATGTTATAAAATTTTGGGAAATCCTATCTGCATATTAAGGGCACTTTTCTCTAAGTGTTAATTAACAAATTGGTACCTGTTGTATTCGGCGATTATTATTACACCAGTACCTCTGGTACCCGATCTTTTTCGAAGCCCAATAGTACTTCCGAGTTCTAGCATTTGATGGTTCCTTTAACTAATTCCCAGCAACACCTACGTCTTGAAGGTCATATAATTTCACTGGATCTGAACAACTGTGGTTCCTAATAGTTCGTTAGGTTTTTAAATGTGGTTTTAATTTTGGTTATAGCACTTTTTATAACATGATCCTTGGTTAATTTATTTTTAAATTATTAATCGTTAATATTGAGTTATTTATCTTTAAATCAAATAACTACAAAAGCAAAATCAAAAGTATGCATTTTAACAATAGAGTCTCTTGTGACTTGAAATTTTTATATAAATTGATGAACGGTATCACAGATTGTTCAATGCTTTGTAACGAATTAATTGTGAGCTACATTGTTGATGCGATTCAAATTTAACTGTATAATTGACGTATAGTCCGTTATGTTTCGAAATAAAATAAAATAAAATAATTAACTTATAGAAGTTAAACATTGCCAAAGCTGCTTGCACTAGTATTGTTTTACAATTTCAATAACGCGATTAAGGAACATCCTGACTGTGACCAAAGACAATAGGGCTTCCATTAAATTCAATCAACTTTGTCATTTGTCGTTAGATTCATGCGTTTTCGGGTATATTGCATGAGCGTTTGTCTGAACGTTATGAGATTTTTTTTTTAATTCCAGGTTACTGTCAGGGATTTAACATGCTAGCTGCTCTTATTCTACAAGTGACCGAAGGATGTGAATCTGATGCCTTGAAAATAATGATATTTTTAATAGAAGGTGTTCTTCCTGAATCTTATTTTGCTGATAGTCTACGAGGACTTTCGGTCGACATGGTTGTCTTTAGAGAATTTATGAAAACGCGATTGCCTCAGCTTTCGAACCATCTGGAGAAACTGCAACATACCACCAACGATGGAAGTATCAGCTATGAACCACCTCTAACCAACGTCTTTACTATGCAGTGGTAAAAAAATTGTATTTGCAGAAAATTTTATTTTATTGAAACCCGTTAGTCATTTATTTTTCAAAATTAATTTTTTTTAATAGTCAGATAATCCTCAGATATAAAGGAACTTTTATTCCTATTTCAACTCATAAACCTATCAAAAAATAGTTACCCTCAAAGAGGAGTGCTTCTTCTCCTTCTTCTTTCTGATCTTCCTCATATTGAGTCCATTTTAATCTTTAATCTTTTTCAATAATCACTTGGTTGACATATTTCAACTAATTATCCAGTTGGAATAAAAAAAACGTCTCCAATTGGTATACAATCCATTTTTACAGGTTTCTCACGATATTTTGCAACTGTCTACCTCACACGACGGTCCTGAGGGTCTGGGACTTAATTTTTTTAGAAGGGAATGACATCTTGTTGAGAGCTGCCCTGTGCATATGGCAACTTCTAGAAGAACGAATAATGACAGTCAGAAATGCTGACGAATTCTACTGCATCATGGGAGTATTGACGCGAGAAATGTTAGAACTAGACCTGGTGGATGCCAACGTGTTGGTGGAATTGATCACGGAGATGGGTCCATTAAAAGAGTTACGAAACCTAAGAGAGAAATATTTGTACAATATCAACCCATGGGCACCATCAAGTAATAGTAACGCCTGTGAAGTGGATCGTCAATTGAAACTGTACCAGAAGGAGAACCTAAAACTTGACATAAGTGCTTTGAAAAAGCAGTACCTTAAACTGAAGCACAGACAAAGGCAAGCCCATATAATATTTACTGCGGCAATCAACAAGCAACCACCTCCCAGTACTCCGCCCATCGCTATTAACCATTTACTGCTCGGAAAAAGTGCTATTCTACCCTCCAAACGTATCGGGCCCCCAAAGGGATCCATTCCACCACCAAGACAATTACCAATTCCAGAAAAAGAAATCACTACTAGTGATACTTTGCTTTGGAGGGACGCGGAGCCAAGAAAACTTTCTACATCTTCTTCTTCCTCATCTGATACAGAATTATGTGATGATTCAGATGATAATGAGGATTTGGAAGAGAAAACAGTTGTTTCCGAAATCAAAAACGCCGAAGTAAATGACGATAGAAACAATTATGAATCTGAAATAAGTAATAATTTATTGGTAGATTTAGGCGAAGACCAATTTGTTCCATCCAGTTCCAACCTTCCTACAACTCCAGTTAAGGAAACTAAGGAAGATGACGAAAAAATACTCAAAATTGAAACCGCAGAATGTTCCGATGATTCAGAACTGGATGAACTGTATTTCGAACAGTTTTTGCAAAAAAGAGTCGAAACGTTAAAGAACACTGATGTCACCCCTGCTGAAGAAGACACACAAGAAGCAAATCGGATAGGTCCAAAAGAAAGTCGCCAGAGGGCTTTAGAAATAATTCAAGAAAACTCATTGATTTTACATCGGATTTTACAATGTCAACAGCAAACAAATTCTTCTGAAATGAACTCGCCCGAAAAACCTGACATAATCAAAGAAAAAGAGGAAGAAGACATCCATTTCAACAACTTCAAGGAACATCTTCCTTTCGGAACAATATCAGACTATACATATAAATATATTGAAGAAGAAGAACAATCAACAGTGTTAGAAAGTATGTCCAAAATAAAGGATCCATGTTCTCCTATTGTTTCAAAAGATTTAGAAAGTCAGTTGTACGATATAGATCTCTCTTATCAAGACGATAACAGAAGTAGGTCTCCCCCGAAGTTACCTGAATTCGACTTCACGTTCAACACGTCATCAGTCAAAGAAGCTCCCTCGCCGTCCAAAAACTACTTCGAAGATTCAGAATCCAAGAAGGATTTGAGCAAAAACGAATTAGACAATGACTATTCGCGAGCTTTAGAGAAGAAATACGAAGAACTGGTTTTGAAGCCGAGACGACCGAGCTTTTTAGACATTTCTTCTTATGAAAAGGACAATGAAGATGATACCGACCGATACAACACAAAAAGTAACGAGAAGACTGAAGAAATAGGTAATGGTCAAACTGTTAACTTAACGGAGAAACGATATTATCCCCTGAAGAAATCGCCTAGTAAATCTCCAACGTCTGACCCTTTCCCCGTTCGTATACTTTCTAGACAAAATAAAGACGTCTGTATTCGTTTAGGGCTTTATAAAAAATCGTAATTTTTGTATAAATGCGGAATACTACTACGGAATGCTTATTTTGAAGCAAGTCTTACGATAAATTACGTCACATCCAGGAGTTATTATGACCAACTGATTAGGTACCATTTAAAAACGAAAATCGAAACTTTAAGTAGAAATAAAACAGAACTATGACTTTATTTGGTGCTTCAAAATTCTTTTACCAATATTGCACTAACCGATTTTTGCCATGTTTTAAATTTCTTAATAATAATTAATAATTAACGAATAACCAATCAGAACCCATAATCTTCGTACCTATTAGAAAAGAAGTCGTAAGGTATGTATGTTCAATTGTTACCCATTGGGATTCACCGCATTTTCCTTGTAATAATGTAAGAGAGCATTGATTGGTTAATTAATTTAATTCTTAGTACGAATTAGGTACCCGATAATAAAATAAAAAAATTGATAATGAAAAGACGTAAAGCGTCTTTACGTCTTTAATGAAGGATTTTAGAAACAATCGGTTTAATACCTTCCAAATAATTGATAATTAATATTTAACCAACCGGAAGATGTTTGATTTATTGAAAACAAGAAGGGGTAGATTATCTGTTGTTGTTGTTACCATGGTTCATTAATTTATTTTTTCAAATGGAAAAGAACCCTATTGTACCTAATTAGTTAATTTTAATTTTTTAAATTATTAATTAATTATAATGAATCAAACACATAATTTCATTTAAACGCCCTCTGCCCATTTCATGTTACAGTTAAATTCGAAAAAAAAATATCAGTGGTCATAATTAAATCTGGACGAAACGTTGGATTTATTTATCTAACAAAAAAATATACGGAAATATGTTTGTATTTTCTGTATACGCAACTAACTAAAATTAATAAGGTGCTGTGTTAATCCTGTAGGAAGACAAATCAGCAAAAAAACAATAATATTTTCCTTAAAAAGTTGTTAACGTATTGTTCAATAAATAATAAAAATTATTACCGATATGGATAAAGTTTGTTTATTTCTAAATACCATATAAACCTTTCGTACACAACATCCGTACATATAGGTAGGTATACAGTATGAATTACCTTGACGTTTGTTTTTATTATTTCTAGTATCAGAAAAGAAAAATAAAATCTCACAAAATGTAACAATCAATAAAATATATAATTTAAAAAATTATTCAACTGTAAAATGTTGCCGCTTTGATCTAAATATTTTATTTCTATTAAAGTCAGTATAACATGAGACGAATGTTTGTTCATCTTTATCATTTAATTAGTAGTTGTATTCAGGCAAAACAGGTGGGCAAGTACACACCAAATGTTTATCTCCATAAATGTCATCAATTCTAGCGACACTGGGCCAAATTTTCGTTTCAGGTCTAACAAAAGGGGCCGGAAAAGCGGCCTGCTCTCTAGTATAAGGTCTCTCCCAGTTACTACAAACCACTTGTTCTTGCGTATGTGGTGCCATTTTTAAAGGATTCATCCTAATTTCCAGCCTGCCTTCTTCTATGTCTCTTATTTCTTGCCTTATCGTGATCATAGCCTCACAAAACCTATCGAGTTCCTGTTTGTCCTCCGATTCCGTCGGTTCAATCATCAACGTCCCTGGGACCGGCCAAGACATCGTCGGTGCATGAAACCCGAAATCCATAAGTCTTTTCGCTATGTCAGCTACCTCAATGTTAGCTGTCTTCTTAAAGTCTCTACAATCGATTATAAACTCGTGGGCAATAAGTTTAGAAGTCGAACATTTAAATAGGGTCGTGTAATGCGACTCCAAGCGAGCACTCATGTAATTTGCGTTCAGTATTGCCACTTGGGTGGCTTTCTTAAGACCCCTTGGACCCATCATCTTAATATATGCCCAACTAATAGGAAGGATGGCCGAAGAACCGAACGGAGCGGCGCTAACCGGACCTGCGGTTGCTGCCGAATGAGGATTGACCACAGGATGACCTGGGAGAAACGGAATCAGATGTTTTTTGACCCCTATAGGACCCATTCCTGGACCACCACCACCATGTGGAATGCAAAAGGTCTTGTGCAGGTTCAAGTGTGATACATCGCTTCCATAATCGCCAGGTCTGCATAATCCTACTTGTGCGTTCATATTTGCCCCATCCAAATAGACTTGCCCCCCGTTTTTGTGAATGACCTCACAAATGTCCGCTATGGTCTCCTCAAAAACGCCGTTTGTTGAGGGATATGTTATCATAAGACATGAAAGGCGATTTCGGAATTTTTCCGCTTTTGCCATTAAATCGTCAACATCCACCGATCCATTTTGCCTAATTTTGACGGGCTCCACCCGCATTCCTGCCATTTGGGCACTAGCAGGATTCGTCCCGTGGGCACTTACAGGAATCAAACACACATCCCTGTGCTTGTCACCCCGAGCTTCGTGATAGCATTGTATAGCACGTAGTCCTGCGTATTCTCCTTGAGCACCACTGTTTGGCTGAAAACTTATCTTGTCGTAACCCGTTACGGAACACAAATCCTTTTCCAGTTCCGCAAACAACTGCTGATATCCTTCGGTCTGGTCCAACGGTGAAAATGGATGAATATCTGTAAAATGCTGAAACGAACATGGCATCATTTCGGTTGTAGAGTTCAGCTTCATGGTACAAGAGCCCAAAGGTATCATGGAATGAACCAACGATATGTCCTTGTTTTCTAACGTCTTCATGTAACGAACAATCCTCGTTTCGGAATGATGCGAATTGAAAACCGAATGGGTTAAGAAAGGCGAGGTTCTTTTGAATGGTGAATTTGTTATGGACACTTTCATGATCTCTGGTTCTTCGTTTTGGACAAGACCGTCGACGTTGTTGCCTGACGCGAAACAATAAAACAAGTCGTTTACGTCTTCGACTGTAACAGTCTCATCCAATGAGACACCCACAGCCCCGTCATCGTAGTATCTCAAATTTATTTTCTTTTCCATTGCTCTACTCCTTATCTCGTCGACGCTTATTTTTGGCTCGATCCTTAGTGTATCGAAGAACGTACTTTTCTGTGTCTCGTGACCATCTTTTTTAAGACCGTGGTTCAGAACAAGCGTATTATTGTGGACATTGGAAGCAATGTCTTTAAGTCCCTGTGGACCATGATAAACTGCGAACATGGCCGCCATATTTGCTAGAAGTGCCTGAGCAGTGCAGATGTTACTTGTGGCTTTGTCTCTTCTGATATGTTGCTCCCTTGTTTGTAAAGCTAAACGATAAGCGTCCCTTCCAGAGGCGTCCCTTGTAACGCCTATCATTCTTCCCGGCATCAGTCTTACCAGCGATTGATTGCAAGAGAAAAATCCAGCGTGTGGTCCACCATAACCTAATGGTACACCGAATCTTTGAGACGTTCCAATGGCTATGTCAGCTCCAAATTCAGAAGGTGGTCTTAGTAATGTCAGACTTAGTAAGTCTGTTGCACAACAGACCAAAGTACCGTGAGAATGGGCCTGTTCTGAAACGGAACTGAAGTCCAACACATTTCCTTCAGTGTCAGGGTATTGGATCATCACTCCAGCTACGTCATGATTTGAGAAGTCAGTATCGAAAACGTCTACAGTCTCAACGTCCAATCCTAGGGAAGTTAAACGGGTTTCTATAACTGATATTGTCTGAGGGTGGAGTTTCTTGGATACGAAAAGTTTTCTTCTCTTAGTGTGGCGATAGCAAAGAGATAATGCTTCTGCAGCTGCGGTACCTGCAAGTTTAATTTAATATATTCTTAAATCAGTCATTACTGTTTGTAATTGTCTAAAAGTACAAAGTTATTTACTCAAAAGTTCAGTTTGCATCACATATTGACGTTAGGGGTTGTTCATAAAATACGTTCGCAAATAAGGAATATAGAAGGGTATTACTTAGCGTGACGAGGTGTGACGATCTATGACAAAGGAATGAAATGTGGCGTTCGCAGTTCATCAATTTTGTTAACTTGGCAGTTCTTAAAATTTTTCATTACGATAGAAAGTCATTCTCAGTACTACTTTTAATCAGAAGAAATCGTTTATAGGGAGTATGGAGTGTTAAAGGGGTCGCTGAAGGTGTGACAGCGTGACGAAAGGAGTAGGGTCAAAAAAGGTGAAATTCTAAGTGACGTATTTTATGGATGACGCCTTAGTACTGAATAAAAACTAGCCTGAATGAAAATGTTGCATTAAAATTCATATAAAGTATTCTTATCTATCGTTAGTTCGGCATAGGTACTTTTTGAACATTCTCTTGCTCCCTTCTTTTGACTTATAATTACGATCTTACAAAGGAGAAGAATTTGAAATTAAGAGTCAATATGTTTAAGTAAAACTAAAATACTGGTATGCAAGGGAAGAAAAAGTAGAGGAAGAGCGAATATAAAGATAGGAGATGAAAAATTAGAAGAAGTGGCTGATTTTAGATACCTAGGAAGTCAGATAAGTGAGGATGGAAGGAGTAGTAGGGATATAAAGCAGAGGATAGCGCAGGGTCGTGTCGCCTTTAATAAAAACAAGTCACTTCTATGCTCGCGAACGGTTAATTTAGAAATACAAAAAAGGTTGTTAAAGGTGTATGTTTGGAGCACGGCGTTGTACGGGTGCGAAACATGGACAGTGGGAGCGGCGGAAAAGAAAAGGTTAGAAGCGTTCGAAATGTGGTGTTATAGGGGGATGATGAGGATAACGTAGGCAGAAAAGGTTAGAAATGAGGAGGTATTGGAAAGAATAGGAGAACAGAGGACTCTGCGGAAGACAATAAAAAATAGGCGAGATAGGTTGGTAGGACACCTTCTCAGGCATGAAGGACTAGTCAGAGACATATTAGAGGCAGAAACAGGAGTTAGGAGGGGTAGAGGTAGTCCTAGATTAGATTACTGTTCGCAAATAGTTAAGGATGTGGGCCGTTCTAGTTTTAGGGAAATGCGAAGTTTAGCTCAGGATAGGAAAGAGTGGAGGTACGTGTCCAACCAGTCTTAAGACTGATGACCTTATGATGATGATGATGTTTAAATTAATTTCCCAAAAAGACTGCGACATGAACAATTTTTACGATCCTGGAGAAGTATTTATCTTTGGTACCTTCGTCTAGCAACGACGCATTGGCAACCTCCAATCCAGTCAATTCAGATATCATAGTTTGATAATTAAGTAACCCTTCCAAACGTCCTTGTGCTACTTCCGGTTGATAAGGGGTGTAATTAGTAGTCCACCCAGGATTTTCGAAAATGTTCCTCATTATCGTATGAGGTACACAACAATTGTGGTACCCCATACCAATGTACGACCTCCATATTTGATTCTTTTCCGCAATAGTACGGATCCTTTTAATTAAATCATATTCCCCTAAAAATAATTTCGCTCAATTGAAATATTTTTTTTAATTACTAAAGACGTAATCAAAAAACGATATATATTATCTCAAGAACATATTTTTTTTAATTATTAACATTTTTATAGGTAAATAATTTTTTACGCACGTGTCAGCCTTACCTGTGGGTTCTTCGATTTCCAAAGGTTTTGTAAGTCGGATATTTTTTGGAACAGCAGCATCTGTTAGATGATCTAAACTCTACAAAATTAAAGTCGTTTCAACTCCACTTCTTTTAAAGAATTAATAAGATAAAGCTTTTATCTAAACCTTGTATCCCAAGAAGTCCAACATGCTGATTATGTCCCGATCCCTAGGGCCTATGTGTCTACTTTCAAACTCATCTTTTTTTAATGCAAAAGCTTTTTCCCTTATTAAAGACCTGGATAAAAACCTCTTAATCGAGATATTTCTAAAACTGTGTCGTCTAAATAAAAGGGCACCACTCATTTTTTTTTAATTTAAAATTTAATGAATGAAATTAACTTATTATATTAACGAGTACTTAAAATACAGTGAATATTTTCTATTAAGCGATTACCTAAACAGTTTCTTCAATGTCAAAGGCCATGAAGATAATATTGAGTAATTTACATTACGATATACAAGCTAGTAAATATTGTTTTTAGATTTTAACGAATATCTTCAGTAATATACATGATGTGTTTCTGACAATTTAAAAACTTAAACTTAAATTATGAATTAGGTAAATGAAGATGACCCATCAAGTGCGAATTCGACAAAAAGTCATAAAGACCTAAAGTATTATCGAAAAAAGGTGCACTTCTGAATTCCCTTTATAAAGCCCTTTTTAAAATATACTCTTCGCGATCTACAAAAAATCTAGCTTCCATTTCGTTCCTCTATATACTTATTTTCAAGTTTTAAACTGAAATCATCAGCTATATGAAAAAAGTAGTGATTTAAGAAAGGTTCTTATATTTTCATTATAAAATACGGAACGGTAAAATTATTTTGATGCTTACTACAAAGTAGACAAATTATTTTTTAATTTAAATAAAGGGACTGCTATTTTTACAATTTTTTATTTTTGAGTAATTTTACTCCTTCAAATTAAAGATATTAGATACCTTATAAACTTACTGTTTTTTCACAAATCTAACAATTTAGAAACTATTTTATTAAATAGCTAATAGTCTAATAAATCTGTTTTTTTTTTAATTAGCTAAAGTATTGTAGAAATATAAGAAGATATTGGAAGGTGATTCAATATATTAATTTTAAATATAAAGAGGTTTAATTAATTATTACTTTTATTTTCAAAAATATTAAATTAAGAGACGTATGCTACCATCTAACGTCAAAAATATGAAACGAACTGCTTTACTTTATTGAATCAGCGGAGCCACTATCGTAATACGAATTCAATTCACTTGAGGGTATACATAAACTAAACATTAAGTTTTTTATTAAATTAAATAAAATATAGCTCCTAATCCGTGCCTTTATGATCATAAATAATTCTCAATAGTTTAACACCCTTTTTTTTAAAATAACTTGTTTGTTTTTGCTAAAATATCCGCCTGTAGTAATCATTGTGTTATTGAGTTTTTATTTTATATAAAAAATGGAAACATATTTATTAAAAACAAAAAACCAGTTAAATAAGAGTTTGACTAGCACGCCGGAAGTTCTATATTTAACAATTGGGTAGGTACATTCTTTATTATAAAATTTTCGAAAACATATGTATAATTTCTTTAATTAATTCCATGAATTAACAACCCTCCTCCGCAGTCGAATAAAAATACGTTCACATAATAAATAAACTAGTATTTTGATAATTTTTTAAATATGGAATTCAAAATTGTGGAAAAATGTTTATATTCTCAGCAAGGATCTATTTCGAGTATATTTAAAAGTCAAAATTCATCCAAAAGTATTCTACAAATTTTAACAATGAAATGATCTTTTTTTTTTTTGAAATACAGAATCCGAAAATAATAAAACGTAAAATCCACGCAACACGACTTTATTTAACAATTCAATATATAGTGACAAACAAATACTTAAACTAATAAGTAATTACTAAAAGTAAATGTAACAGTTGACAAATTATCATAGGTACATGTATATAGTAATTGGTCATTACTATTCAAACACGTTAATCAGTCTCCATTTTGTACTTTTCAATCCAAATTTACATACATACACTTCATCATCATAAAGCTAACACGCAAGAAAAGAAAATTACATTTCAAAGATGAAATACATTTTTTAACTAAAAGGAAAGAATCAAACAATCCAAAATGTGTTTATTCCTTTTTTGCATGTCCAACTTTGTTTTTTAAATTGTCTGCAATGCCAGAAAACGCTTGTGTAATAATTGCTCCATACTTTTGCAGCATTCCATTGTGCAACATTCCGGGAATAAGCAAAGTCGATGTAATAAATATGTACGTCAGAAACAAATTGTTGAACAAATTTCCAATATAAGCCATAGAAATCAATGTAACAATGGTGCACAAATAGAACTGTAATAGAGGAAAATTAAAGAATTTAAAACAAGTGTGATAAGAAATAAGTGTTACCAATTTGGGGCGATCTGTTCTCATTTTGTAATATGTAATAAGAGAAAATTGCAACTTTGTTTTGTATATAACAAGTGATCTACAAATCCCTTCAAACTCCATCTCTTTTTTAGCTGTCCAAGAGTCAGGTTTGTAAATACTGGATATTAATAATGGTACTAAATAATCACTTATTGTCAGTGTTAATCCCAAGAGAGAGAATGTTGTTAGGATGCTTGGATCTAATAACCATAATACAAGAAAAAGCAATGTGGAACCTACGAAAAACATTATGAAACAGGAACTCCACTAAGGAACAGCTATTTATTAGAGTTACCACCCAGTACAGCTCCGGGATACCAATTCTTTTCCCATTTTAACACGGAACTCAGTGGTAAGACAATCTCCCTCCAGTTTTCTAACGTTCGTTTTAATTTTCTAATCTCTAGTTCCTAATAAATCACAAAAATGTAATTCTTTTAAATAATAAAATTACACAATTGAGACAAATAAACAAAACAAAAAATATTTTGATTATGTATACCAAATCGTATAGTTCAAAAGTGCTAATTATCGATCTTTGGTCATCAATAAGGCTTTCAGAGAACGAATACAAATCGTCAGTTAAATTTCGTGTATCAGTGAGATTATTTTCAATCTTAAGTTTTAAACCTTCTCCATTATCTTCTTTAGACTGTCAGATAAACGGTTAAAAAAAATAATAATTCATTCCTATTTTCTTTATACTTACTTGATCAGCCATCTCTAGACTAAATTTAAACTATATATAACTGTTAAATTAACAGAAATATTAATGAAATCAAGAAAAATTCGGTAACAGTTTTGGATCTAACAAAGGTGACACCGTTTGACAGTTATTCGAAAATGTCACAAACATGTCACAAAACAAACCGACATCTATACCACAACAGAAATAGTATTGTACAGTTCCATACATAAAAATTGACCCTACCATTTTCTAAACAAAATAATATAACAATTAAAAATGAAGCTATAGTCAACCAAGAAAAATTAATCCGCAATACTTGCAAATAAACAAAAAAGGTCATTTTCTTTCAAAACATTTATTAACGAAGTACCTACTTAAAAGATATCCATATACAGAATAAATATTTCAAATATTTTTACAATAAATTAGTAAAGTAAGCGTTGAAAGTGGTATATATCAATTTCCCTTCTGATTGGTCGATGAGTGCTCTTCTGTTGTTTATCTACATCTATTATACATAATGGATGGTAGTTATTAATGGTGTCGGTACAAATTTATTAATCATATTATTTAAAAAATTGTTCATATTTGTCGAAATGTGTACCACAAAAAGCTAGATACATTAGGTATGTACCTACAGTAGCAATAACTATATTTTGCAGTTTCCATTTATTTCTTTTTTAACCACGGTGATCACTCTGCAAAAAAATATATTTAATGAAGTTGAATTAATGACGAATTGTGAAGTAGATTATATTTGCTGTATTTACAGTAGTTCATTACTACATTTAATGAACTGCCCATCTATAATAGGTATTTAAAAAAGCATCTCTTATTATTTAAAGTAATTATGGAAAACATTTTTTATGGTAATAAAACAAGTAGGCATTGTCCGCGAATAATTTGGCAAACCTGCACTTCCATCTCTAGTGCGGCAAGTCAAGTGAATGTAATATCACAAAACTAAGCTCGTAGGTTTTTAGTAAAATAATATTTTCATTAAGTGTGTTAATAGAAAAATTTTGCTAAATTTTGTTAAGCTAGCGATCACATATATTCAGGTATGATTTTTAACTACTTACAATTTACCTACCATAATTTATTCATTTTATAAAAAATATCCATCTATTAATTCTACTTAACCAAGATGGATAGACCCATTGTTGAAGGGTTTGAAAAACAAAAATTATTAACATGGAGGGTATTTTTAATTTAGTTTCTTTTTTAATTAAATAAATACATTATTTCCAAACGAGCAAATAAATAGGAAACGACAAGGAAAATTAAAAACTCTTGATTTTTTGAGCTTTGAAAAATGGCAATGATATATAAATATATAAATCTCTTCGGTGTAATGCAATTTTTCTAAATAAATACGATAAATTGACTAAACCCATCATAAAATAAACGATGTATTATTATTTAATGCATTACTTTATGAAGTGTTTATGTAGCTACACAAATATGTTTATTTGGCAAGCCTGTATCTCCTTCTTTCTTCCGTGATAATGCAAGTGATCATTGCATACCAAAATAAGCTCCTAGTTTTCTAGTAATATATATTTGCAAAATGTGCGGTGATAAAACGATATTCATTAAAACTACTTCAGTTAACGAGTACGTACACTTGGGTATGATTTTTATGTTATTACAATATACTACATCTTATTGTTTTATAAAAAAATGCTATCATATTTGATCNATTACAATATTAATTAGGCATTAATTACACAATAAACAAACAATTCTTTTTTAATATTAGTAGAATTTTGTGACAGCAAAAAAATATGCAGACTTCTGCACAATATGCGGAAGCAGTTCCACTTAAAAACTGCTACTAAAGAGAAATATTATAAAATATAGTCAATACTCGATGATGTCTTATTCACACTGTCGAGTGTCTATTGTAATTTGAATTGAGAACAGAATGGTAAAAAGCAGCAAATGTATTTTTTCTGGAATATTTTGGGGCACCACATAAAAAAATTGATTTTTCTCATTTTGAAAGTAAGGAAAAATTAGTAAAGTGAAATTTATTCCTAAATTGTTGTAAGCAGGACATTAAACAAAACAACTACCATATTATAAGTATTTTTTACCTTTTTTTTGCATTCGTATTAACAGTTGATCAATATTTTGAAGCGAAAATAGAAAACATTAATAAAAAACTGAGCAGAAAATAAATTTTGAAGAGAGAACATGAACATCAGTTTTCCCCATGAAGTCCCAATGTTTACAGTTTTTACCTTTTTTCCATGCTGCTCAATTCAGGTGTTCTTCCCATGTGCTAGCAACACTGTAGAAATAAATTGCTTTCTGTAGGGTAGATGGCGTGAACCTTACAAACAGCGGATAATAAATAAACGTTGCAATGAAAATACAGTTTTATCTTTTATAAATAATTTATAAAAGTAATTTTATCTTTAATTGTATCACTTCTCGATGTTAGGCAACCTGTCTGTCTTTTCTTACAACTGGCAACGGTGCATTTTAAAACGACAGTTAAACATTCATTTTAAAGGAAGCACATTTTTAAGCTTGTTCTAAGTAAAGTGTTAGTGGATGAATAATATGTGTTATCAGGTATGCTAGATTTTGTTTAATACATCTTCAAATGTTTTACTATTTTGTAAACAGTACATCCAGTTTTAAATAAGTCGTTTATAATAACATGAGGAATGGGTGGGGGGAGTTACTAGTTAGAATTAAGAGCCTAGTATTATGGTCTTTTGCAAAAATTGCTAAAAGTTTACTGAATTATTTTTATTATTTGATATTTACGAGTGTAACTGGCATAATACACTTTTGAGGAAATTGCAAGTAGCAACAAAATTTATTTTAACCTTTTTAATCACTACCTAACTTTCATAACTTGCCTCTGAATTCCTGCTGTTCAAAAAAGTAAATCTTACAGTTTGTGTTAAAAAGCAGGACTTTTTCCTTCTTGATATTCGATAAGAAACGAAATATTTAAACTAAGGTCGTGTTGTGATGCTAACAATATATAAAATATAAGGATATGTAGCTAAATTGTGTCATTGAAATACTTCATAAATAGCTGAATAGTTTCAAGTGTACAAATAATGCTGTAGTATTGTCTATACTCTTGAAAATTATTAGTTGAAACAATAATTATTGTTACGTGATTTATTAAGTATTCTGTTCAAACTATATCCCTACGCTCTTATTTTTTTCATACTGAAACGTTATTTTGTTTTTATGAAATGACTTATACAAAAACAATTTATGATTTTGATACGCATTTAAGTTTTTTAATTAATTAAGATAAAACAGCCACTGTTAAATTTAACTACCAGTCACACTACAAAAAGTAATGCAAGTGCTAATTATCGATCTTTGGTCATCAATAAGGCTTTCAGAGAACGAATACAAATCGTCAGTTAAATTTCGTGTATCAGTGAGATTATTTTCAATCTTAAGTTTTAAACCTTCTCCATTATCTTCTTTAGACTGTCAGATAAACGGTTAAAAAAAATAATAATTCATTCCTATTTTCTTTATACTTACTTGATCAGCCATCTCTAGACTAAATTTAAACTATATATAACTGTTAAATTAACAGAAATATTAATGAAATCAAGAAAAATTCGGTAACAGTTTTGGATCTAACAAAGGTGACACCGTTTGACAGTTATTCGAAAATGTCACAAACATGTCACAAAACAAACCGACATCTATACCACAACAGAAATAGTATTGTACAGTTCCATACATAAAAATTGACCCTACCATTTTCTAAACAAAATAATATAACAATTAAAAATGAAGCTATAGTCAACCAAGAAAAATTAATCCGCAATACTTGCAAATAAACAAAAAAGGTCATTTTCTTTCAAAACATTTATTAACGAAGTACCTACTTAAAAGATATCCATATACAGAATAAATATTTCAAATATTTTTACAATAAATTAGTAAAGTAAGCGTTGAAAGTGGTATATATCAATTTCCCTTCTGATTGGTCGATGAGTGCTCTTCTGTTGTTTATCTACATCTATTATACATAATGGATGGTAGTTATTAATGGTGTCGGTACAAATTTATTAATCATATTATTTAAAAAATTGTTCATATTTGTCGAAATGTGTACCACAAAAAGCTAGATACATTAGGTATGTACCTACAGTAGCAATAACTATATTTTGCAGTTTCCATTTATTTCTTTTTTAACCACGGTGATCACTCTGCAAAAAAATATATTTAATGAAGTTGAATTAATGACGAATTGTGAAGTAGATTATATTTGCTGTATTTACAGTAGTTCATTACTACATTTAATGAACTGCCCATCTATAATAGGTATTTAAAAAAGCATCTCTTATTATTTAAAGTAATTATGGAAAACATTTTTTATGGTAATAAAACAAGTAGGCATTGTCCGCGAATAATTTGGCAAACCTGCACTTCCATCTCTAGTGCGGCAAGTCAAGTGAATGTAATATCACAAAACTAAGCTCGTAGGTTTTTAGTAAAATAATATTTTCATTAAGTGTGTTAATAGAAAAATTTTGCTAAATTTTGTTAAGCTAGCGATCACATATATTCAGGTATGATTTTTAACTACTTACAATTTACCTACCATAATTTATTCATTTTATAAAAAATATCCATCTATTAATTCTACTTAACCAAGATGGATAGACCCATTGTTGAAGGGTTTGAAAAACAAAAATTATTAACATGGAGGGTATTTTTAATTTAGTTTCTTTTTTAATTAAATAAATACATTATTTCCAAACGAGCAAATAAATAGGAAACGACAAGGAAAATTAAAAACTCTTGATTTTTTGANACGACGTGGCGATCGTGTCGGACTCTCCGGAGGGACTGAGGAGACTGCTGCGAGCGGCGGTGGAGGGCGCGACGGCAGTGGGACTGACGTTCAACCCGAACAAATGTGCGACACTCCACGTGGACGGCGACAGGGTCCTGCCGACCCAATTCAGCATCCAGCAGTCGCCCATCCCTGCACTCTCTTCCGACGATGCCTACGAACATGTGGGCATCCCCACTGGTTACCAGGTTCGTCAGACGCCCGTCAATACCATCAAAGGGCTCCTCGAGGACGCCAATAAAATCGGCGAATCTCTGCTTGCCCCGTGGCAGAAGCTGGACGCGGTGGGAATTTTTCTACTACCGCGTCTCGACTTTATTATGCAGGGAGGAGTCATCGAGAAGGAGTACCTGACGAAGGCTGACAAGATCATCAGGAAGTTGGCCAAAACTTGGATGAGCCTTCCACAGCGTGCCAGCACGGAGGTCGTCTACTTACCACCGGCTCAGGGTGGAGGGGGACTGCTCCCATTAGGCGACCTGTACGACGTCCTCACTGTAGCTCACGGCTACAGATTGTTGTGTGCGAGCGACGAGGCAGTAAGCGGACTGGCAATGACTCTGCTGAGGAGGTCCGCCGGGAGACGACAGCAGCTGGCAAACAACACCGACGCAGCGCGTTATCTCTATGATATGCCCATTCCTCCCTCGCCCGCCACATTTTGGTCAAAAGTACGCATCTCATCCATCAAGCTGACCAAGAAGCTGGGATTGAGATGGTCCTGGTGCGGAGACAGGGGGTCGTACAGCCTGTCCTGTGGAGAAGGAGAGGGTGTGGAGACTGTCACGTCGGACCAGAAGAACCAGGCCATCAGCATGCTGTACTTATACAAAAACAATTTACGATTTTGATATGCTTGTGTATATTTCAATGCCTTGTGTTTTAATTAATTAAGATAAAACAGCCACTGTTAAATTTAACTACTAGTCACACTACAAAAAGTAATGCAGTCAATAATAACATCAATTGCCTGAATATAAAAGTAATATGATGTATAATCGAAATCTTTAATAGTGACACTAATAAGAGTACAAGATTTTGAGACACATTACAAGAAAAGCCTTTTGTTTTATTTGGTCAACTCCACAAGCTTGAATAAATTTTGTTTTGTCTTCATTTGTTTAGACCTTGCTATTGCATTTTTCTTGTTTACTCTTCTAGATATTCATTGCATAATCTAATTCAACAGTGACTTAAAATTATTTATTTAAAGATAATTCTGAAACATGTTTTGTTGCTTAAAAACTGATTAACATCAAATTTGTCTGTTTGCTTCTATAAACTATCATTGCCATTTAACATTGTGTGTAAAAATATTTTGATTAAATATACATACTCTTTGGTCCTGTTTTACGTGATAACTTCATCTATGAATGAATATGAGTAATCTGCATATCACCTATAAGTAATAAATTTAGTAATTTAAATGTTACACCTTTCAGGTACTTAACACGAAGCTAACTCAAACAACACTTACTAAATTCATTGTTTCCCTTCATTCCATGCCCTGTATGTGTCCACTGATTATACATATGATGGAACCACCAACATAAACATTCGTTTATGTAGCCAATCAATTCAAATAACCTTCACCTAAGGTAAAGTAATTTTTTTTATAAGGCGACATATAAATATAAAAAATAATTTAACACACAAACAACCAAACTTAAATAATTTACAATCATATTTTACAGATTACACAAGAATGATTAATTATTATTTAATACTTATGATTTGTGTACTCACCTATCAAATTTTTCCATTTTAAGCAAATTTCTTGTGTATATTCTGTTTTTTATGTGCACAACGCGATTTTCTGTGATTTTATTATAATAAACATTATGGAAAATGGAAATGATTGAACGAGCAATTCCATGAAAACATCACAAAAAATAATCAATGATAATAATTATCACCTGAATTGTAAATCTTTAGGACTACTATGGCCATCTAGAATTGATTTAGATGTACTTTAAATCTAAAATGTTTCGTTGTTGTACTACAGAGGTCGCAAAAACCGATTTAAAAGCAATTTTAGTGACATGTATACAGGGTGTTTGAAAAAGTGATTTCACATCCTATAAAAACAAATACAATATTAAGTTACGTTTATTTTAATTAAGGCATTCAAATTTAAAAATTAAAATAAAAGTAAAACTGACTTGAATAGGACAAACAAACAAATTTCAAATAAGTAATTAACGAATTTTATTCAATTAAAATCATCCTATTTGCAATCACTGATGTCATTGAATTAGTAAAAAAGGTAACTTAAATTCTAAACTTCATTGTGGTTAATNAATTCATTGTGGGACCCAGGAGAAACTTATTGGATGGTCATTGGAAGAATACTGCATTCATGACGGGGCGTCTCCTTACAGCAACTAAAGGTACTAAACTGTTAATTTATCTTATCAAAAATTTAAAGCTCTCTTGTGTTAAAAGAAATAAAATAAGAGATGGTACTAAGTTATACACAAAAGGTAATACTTTTTCCAATAAAAATGATAGCAAGTATAAGAACTAGTTATAAACAGTAAACATTTCAACTAATTTCAATGTTGCAATTAGAAATTAAATTACCTGTGACATAAAGGCAGTGTTGCCAGCTTTTCATTTTCAATTTTCCCTTCACCTAATAGAAATTTTCCCCTTTTTTTTTCATAAGCTGTAATTGCTATTAAAAGGTACAGTATACAACAAAAATTCAAAATAATACACAATAAAATACACATGTAAATTCAATCGCTAAAGTTAAAAAAGAAACAAACAAATAAAACTGAGCAGAAAATAAATTTTGAAGAGAGAACATGAACATCAGTTTTCCCCATGAAGTCCCAATGTTTACAGTTTTTACCCTTTTTCCATGCTGCTCAATTCAGGTGTTCTTCCCATGTGGTAGCAACACTGTAGAAATAAATTGCTTTCTGTAGGGTAGATGGCGTGAACCTTACAAACAGCGGATAATAAATAAACGTTATTGCATGAGGAATCATCAAGAAATTATTTTCAGTATCGCTTCTCGGCCTTTTGGCTAAGATCAAAGTGTAGTATCTGTTCTTATCAGCTTAATATCTGATACGCCCCGCATGCGGGGCCAGTATATTAAACTGATTTTTGGAAATTGATGGAGATTTAAGAGCTTGCTCTATCTCCGTCGCGGGTTGGCCTAGCATTGCAGTACCGCTAGGATCGGCCCAAATAAACTAATACAAACATAGGAAATCATACATGTAACCAACTAACAACGAAGTATTCGTGTAGATAATAATTCTAGTTCATATCTATACTCACGAAATTCCCTACGTAAAACTATTCATTAAATTATGTTAGATATCAGAAACTGCTGCTCGTTAAAAATAAACAGTACGATACAACATACAAAAGAAATTCTATTAAAAACATTTTCAGACATGATTGTTTAACATTTGATTTTCTTATTGTTACAGGTAAGTTAGATCATCGGGGGAATTGCTGTAGATAACTTGCAATTGGACATGTGAGTTGTTTCCTCCTAATTTTTTTTAGGTCGCGGAGTGTTCGCTGTCCGGTAATGTTAATTGTATGAAAGTTAGTTTGTTAAAGGCAAACTTTTCAAGAAGATAAGTTACACATTATAATGCAATTCCAAAATTAAATTTTTACAGTCGAGTTTGCCTTATAGAATTGGATATATATTCTTTAGAAATATGTGTGTTTGGTGAAAAAAAAAATATAAAAGGAAACATTTGTTAAGCCTTTAAAAATTTATTAAAAATATATTGATATTTATTAATAGATTCGTTTAAGGCTAAACAGTTTGATCTTGTGTTTTTGCACCAGTTGGAACATTTTGTAACAATTTTATTTATTTTCTGTTTTCAACAATTCTTTTGACGATACGCATTCTTAATCTGCTTTCATTGTTATTGTATGGTTGTCCCAAAAATCTTCACAAATTTTTAGAACACTGTATCTTATTGAATTCCCCTTTGTTAATAATTAATATAGTAATAAAAAGTAAGGCGTGTAAAGTTGTAATGTGGTTACACCAGACTGTACCTTCTCCTTAATGGGCACTTTTCGTCTCTCAACAACGTGTCTCACAGGGACACAAGCTGTTAAACATCTGTTACAGGTCCCAACAGCCGACACCCAACAGTGTTTTTAATAAACATAACCTCTACGGAATCTATTGTTTCTTAAATTTTTATATATTCCATTTCCAAAATGCTAACACTGTTTTTAAAAATATATTACTGTTAGATGGTTGTCACTGCGCTAATTTTCTTGTAAAGTAATTAAATATAAGAATGTTTAAATTCAATTTCTTTGAAGACAGTTCTGCTTGTAATAAAAACGGTGAGCGTTATAAAAATAATAAAATGTAATTGTTATCGACTTAAAAATATCTTTATTCAGAGGAAAAACCTAACTGCAAAGAATGTGAAGAGTTACATGTAAATAATTTCAAACTACCACCAGAATATCCAATTAGCATTCTTAAGATTAATGATAAACCTAATGAAATACTTATTAAGCATGTGGCACATGATGATGTGATTAATTACATCAAAAAGCAAGGTAATTCCGATACCAATCTATTTGAAGCTGAAGAACAGCATTCCGATTTGCTTAGTGGCGTTTATGAAGGTATAACAAGGTTGTGATATAACATATTCTTTTTTTGTAAAATTAAAACATCTACAGGTGGTTTAAAAGTATGGGAATGCACTTTCGATTTAGTAAATTTTTTAATAGAGAAAGACATTAACTTCATGTCGAAAAAAGTTCTCGATCTTGGCTGTGGTGTTGGCATTGTAGGCATTTGGGCAATACTTAAGGGTGCAACAGTAGTTTTTCAGGATTATGTAAGTTTTTTTTTAACTTTATACAATATCTTGTTTTTTTAAATTGTTAGCATTTCAAAGCTAAACAGATGTACCAAATTAAAATGGTATTGTTATTGAGGCACTTACTAGTGATGACATCATTTTAATGTGATGGGAGTGTTTTCAAAAAACACCATAATCAGATGTTCAACTTTAACTTTTTTAATTATTTTCCAAAATGTTTAACTACAATATTTCTGTTCATGTATTGGAAAAATCTACTAAACCTATCATTGCTGCTACCTTTTCTAGAATTCTGAAGTTCTCAAATATGCAACAATTCCGAATGTATCATTAAATGTAGATTCTCAATTTCTAAACACCACTAGTAACTGCAAAGCAAAATTTATTTCTGGCGATTGGACTTCATTTGTTGACCATTTTGCTAAGGAAAATGAGAAATTTGATTACATTTTAACTTCGGAAACTATTTATAACCGTGATAATTATGAAAAACTTCATAAAGTTTTTAAGGACACTTTAAAAGGTGATGGCTATGTGTATCCTTATATATAATATACTCACGATTTATAAGATTTTACAATGAACAAATACGTTTTGATATTAATCTTAATGTTCTTGTTTCATTTATAATTTATTTTATTTTTTTAATACTTTTCTTACAAAATAATAGTTATGTAGCGGCCAAATCTTACTACTTTGGATTAGGAGGAGGTGTACATGATTTTATTGAATTTATTAATTCTCAAAATGTATTTTGCATACAGAGATGTTGGGAAAGTAATTCTGGAGTTAAGAGAGAAATTATTTTGCTTAAATTTAAATAATAAAAACATTAATTTTATTTGATTTTTCTTCAACTTACCATAATGTGTCTTCATGTAAGATATCCTACTTGACCATATTAAGGGTAATATTTCTGATTTCTCCCTACTAGATTGCAAATCATTGGAACCATTTTAATGATTTTTCTTCACACAAATTTTAAACTCCCATTTGGAACTTTAAAGAAATCTCGCGCGAGTACTACTGAACCCCCTTAAGAGAGCATTTAGACTTTATCATAAAAAAACTTCATTCTTTTTTTTCTAATAGTTTAGGTTCGAGTTGTTAAGTTTATAATTTTTAAAAATATTACAAAATTGTGAAAAATGATAATTTATTGTGAATTTAATAAATACATTATAAAGAAAATGCATACATATAGAAAAGCTCCTCTATTTTCTATACTTAACGTTAGTATAATAAAATAGTGTTTATTCTTGTTAAAGTTTCGATAAAAATAATCCTTTTTTTATAAATAAAAAAGTATTAATATTCTTCAATTATCAGTGTTACTTTTCTATTAACATATTTATCATAACTGTCTATTTCCGATCTAACACAGACGTCAACCCTATGAAATCCCATATTATCCAGATCGCTTCCCGAATCTCGTATTTCAAATCTTATTTTATGACCGAAGTGCTCATTTAATTCTGGAATGCACACGGGAGTTCCGTAGGGCAATTTCAACTTTTTGTCCATGGCTAGCGTTACAAAATCTGCTCTGTCGTCGAGATAATCCTGAAATAGAAGGTCCCGTTAATATTAGACACTTGCCAGAAGAAGTTGTTGAAATAAAAAATAAACAGAGACACCACAGTTTTACAAAAATATTTAGATCCAGAGGAAAAATTTGTGTTAAAAGAAAAATAACCACATAGCGATTGATTGTACACAGAATGTTAAATTGTATAGTCATAAAAATTGCTATTTGAGATTTCTTCAAGTAGTTATAAAAATTTTGTTTGAATAAATGCTGTTCTTTTCCTGCTGTACCTGAAGTGTCTGTAAAGTTTGTCCATTATCGTCTTTTATATCTTCTTCGTTATCAATTTCGTAATTATATTTTGGATAATATGCAGCCATTGACACGTTTTCATATTTCCGTCCGACACAATGAAATTTTATTTCTTAAACGGATAAAGGTATTAAACTTATTTCAGACTTAAATATATTTAATTTACATTTTATTAATACTTACCATTATTGCGAAACAATTTTGCAAACAATTCCGATGGAAACGAAAAAATCAGTACATAAATACAAATTACTTTAAACATTATTCTAATAACGAATTATAATACTCATTCACTGGCTAAACAAACAATTCTTTTTTAATATTAGTAGAATTTTGTGACAGCAAAAAAATATGCAGACTTCTGCACAATATGCGGAAGCAGTTCCACTTAAAAACTGCTACTAAAGAGAAATATTATAAAATATAGTCAATACTCGATGATGTCTTATTCACACTGTCGAGTGTCTATTGTAATTTGAATTGAGAACAGAATGGTAAAAAGCAGCAAATGTATTTTTTCTGGAATATTTTGGGGCACCACATAAAAAAATTGATTTTTCTCATTTTGAAAGTAAGGAAAAATTAGTAAAGTGAAATTTATTCCTAAATTGTTGTAAGCAGGACATTAAACAAAACAACTACCATATTATAAGTATTTTTTACCTTTTTTTTGCATTCGTATTAACAGTTGATCAATATTTTGAAGCGAAAATAGAAAACATTAATAAAATGAAAATCTTTTTTCCAACGCGTTTTATTAACATAAGTCACGTTATTAAGCATGATAAAAGTATAACAAAGTTAAGTAAAGACCTCATATAACAATAATAATAGCATTAATAAATGATGCATATTTTAACCTGTGATTTTTATGAATATTATGCCACTTATATATATATTATTAACCTGAGAAATTCTGTAAGTAACCAAACACAATTTAGACGTTAAATACAATCATACAAACCATTAGGTTTAGAAGAATAAAGTGAGTTTTAGTTTTATAACATTAACATACATTTTTTTGGTTTGTTTTAATTTAATTTAGAACAGTACAAATAAGCTTAAATCGCTGATATGGCAACAACAAAATAGAAATAAAGTAAAATACATATACATGTAATATCACGCAAAATATTAAGTCACTGCTTAGTAAATTTACGAAGGATGCAAATCCATATTTAAGCAAATCCCATTGTTTTTTAACTTTTAAGTATGTACGTTAAGTACGTAAAGTTACTATTTTTTTTTTGTTAACGCTCAATAAGATTTTTGTATATTTAACAATCAATTGCATCGTTATTTTTTTAANTCTTTTTTTCTAATAGTTTAGGTTCGAGTTGTTAAGTTTATAATTTTTAAAAATATTACAAAATTGTGAAAAATGATAATTTATTGTGAATTTAATAAATACATTATAAAGAAAATGCATACATATAGAAAAGCTTCTCTATTTTCTATACTTAACGTTAGTATAATAAAATAGTGTTTATTCTTGTTAAAGTTTCGATAAAAATAATCCTTTTTTGCGAGCAGCGCCAGCTGCGAGAAACCGTCCTACCGATCGGATTCAGGAGGCCAAGAAAATCCAACGGCTCTATCGTAAAAACAAAAAGGTCAGCTGTTCAAAGGGTTCTCGCAGGTCCAAATCAGGTCTGCGAGATAAATTTAGCAAATATTGAGACCTTTTTTCAGGAGTTGGCTGCTCGTAGAGCTGGAAGAGTAGACTGGCCGAATGTTTTCGATCAAGTGGAGCCGACCCCGGAGAGCAACGACAATCTGTGCAGGCCAATTGAGTCGGAGGAGGTGATCGCCTGCCTGAGCCGCCGATCCAACACGGCGTCGGACCCAGACGGTGTCACATACGCCGACCTCAAGAAGGCCGATCCCGGGGCACGTGTGCTGACAGCACTAATGAATGCTGTTTGGCGTACAGAGGCAGCTCCCGCTTCGTGAAAGGAGTCAAACACCATTCTCCTGTACAAGAAGGGGGACCCGATGGACATTCGCAACTGGAGGCCGATCTCTCTTGGAGACACGGTCCCAAAGCTGTTCGCTGCCATACTCTCGAACAGAGTCAAGAAGTGGGCAGTGACCAACCATCGGTTCAGCGACGCACAGAAGGGCTTCCTGCAATTCGAGGGCTGCTTCGAGCACAACTTCGTCCTGCAGGAGATAATTCGCAGCGCCAAGAAAAAGAAAGGCAAGCTAGCGATCGCCTGGTTGGACCTGACGAGCGCGTTCAACTCTGTGCCTCACTCGTCCATCCACCGAGCCCTGGAAGGTCACGGAGTCCCAGCAAAGGTGAGAAACATCATCGCCAGCCTGTATGCAGATATGAGGACACGTGTGCGGGCTGCTGGCGGAGAAACAGCACCCATCTGCATCCAATCGGGGGTCCGGCAGGGCTGTCCATTGAGCCCAGACATCTTCAACCTCACTTTGGAGGTAGTGCTACGATGCATGAAGAAGACGGAGTGCGGTTACATGTTCGAAGGCAGGCGCTACACCATCTTTGCGTATGCCGACGACGTGGCGATCGTGTCGGACTCTCCGGAGGGACTGAGGAGACTGCTGCGAGCGGCGGTGGAGGGCGCGACGGCAGTGGGACTGACGTTCAACCCGAACAAATGTGCGACACTCCACGTGGACGGCGACAGGGTCCTGCCGACCCAATTCAGCATCCAGCAGTCGCCCATCCCTGCACTCTCTTCCGACGATGCCTACGAACATGTGGGCATCCCCACTGGTTACCAGGTTCGTCAGACGCCCGTCAATACCATCAAAGGGCTCCTCGAGGACGCCAATAAAATCGGCGAATCTCTGCTTGCCCCGTGGCAGAAGCTGGACGCGGTGGGAATTTTTCTACTACCGCGTCTCGACTTTATTATGCAGGGAGGAGTCATCGAGAAGGAGTACCTGACGAAGGCTGACAAGATCATCAGGAAGTTGGCCAAAACTTGGATGAGCCTTCCACAGCGTGCCAGCACGGAGGTCGTCTACTTACCACCGGCTCAGGGTGGAGGGGGACTGCTCCCATTAGGCGACCTGTACGACGTCCTCACTGTAGCTCACGGCTACAGATTGTTGTGTGCGAGCGACGAGGCAGTAAGCGGACTGGCAATGACCCTGCTGAGGAGGTCCGCCGGGAGACGACAGCAGCTGGCAAACAACACCGACGCAGCGCGTTTTCTCTCAGGTGATATGCCCATTCCTCCCTCGCCCGCCACATTTTGGTCAAAAGTACGCATCTCATCCATCAAGCTGACCAAGAAGCTGGGATTGAGATGGTCCTGGTGCGGAGACAGGGGGTCGTACAGCCTGTCCTGTGGAGAAGGAGAGGGTGTGGAGACTGTCACGTCGGACCAGAAGAACCAGGCCATCAGCATGCTGTACTTATACAAAAACAATTTACGATTTTGATATGCTTGTGTATATTTCAATGCCTTGTGTTTTAATTAATTAAGATAAAACAGCCACTGTTAAATTTAACTACTAGTCACACTACAAAAAGTAATGCAGTAATATGTAAAGTAGTATGATGTATAATTGAAATCTTTAATAGTGACACTAATAAGAATACAAGATTTTTAGACACATTACAAGAAAACCCTTGTGTTTTATTTGGTCAACTCCACAAGCTTGAATAAATTTTGTTTTGTCTTCATTTATTTAGAACTTGCTATTGCACTTTTCTTGTTTACTCTTCTAGTATAATTCATTGTATAATCTAATTCAACAGTGACTTAAAATTATTTATATAAAGATAATTCTGAAACATGTTTTGTTGCTTAAAAACTGATTAACATCAAATGTGTCTGTTTGCTTCTATAAACTATCATTGCCATTTAACATTGTGTGTAAAAATATTTTGATTAAAAATACATACTCTGGTCCTGTTTTACATGATAACTTCATCTATGAATGAATATGAGTAATCTGCATATCACCTATAAATAATAAATTTAGTAATTTAAATGTTACACCTTTCAGGTACTTAACACGAAGCTAACTCAAACAACACTTACTAAATTCATTGTTTCCCTTCATTCCATGCCCTGTATGTGTCCACTGATTATACATATGATGGAACCACCAACATAAACATTCGTTTATGTAGCCAATCAATTCAAATAACCTTCACCTAAGGTAAAGTATTTTTTTTTATAAGGCGACATATAAATATAAAAAATAATTTAACACACAAACAACCAAACTTAAATAATTTACAATCATATTTTACAGATTACACAAGAATGATTAATTATTATTTAATACTTATGATTTGTGTACTCACCTATCAAATTTTTCCATTTTAAGCAAATTTCTTGTGTATATTCTGTTTTTTATGTGCACAACGCGATTTTCTGTGATTTTATTATAATAAACATTATGGAAAATGGAAATGACTGAACGAGCAATTCCATGAAAACATCACAAAAAATAATCAATGATAATAATTATCACCTGAATTGTAAATCTTTAGGACTACTATGGCCATCTAGAATTGATTTAGATGTACTTTAAATCTAAAATGTTTCGTTGTTGTACTACAGAGGTCGCAAAAACCGATTTAAAAGCAATTTTAGTGACATGTATACAGGGTGTTTGAAAAAGTGATTTCACATCCTATAAAAACAAATACAATATTAAGTTACGTTTATTTTAATTAAGGCATTCAAATTTAAAAATTAAAATAAAAGTAAAACTGACTTGAATAGGACAAACAAACAAATTTCAAATAAGTAATTAACGAATTTTATTCAATTAAAATCATCCTATTTGCAATCACTGATGTCATTGAATTAGTAAAAAAGGTAACTTAAATTCTAAACTTCATTTTGGTTAATAAATAAATAAAACAAATTAAATGATCCAATTCATTAATTCTATCATTTTGATTTCTGATTTGTAAATTATTATGCCATTTTCAATATTGTAAATTACATTTTTATTTTTATTTTTTGGAAATGAAGATGTCTCGAACTTAGACAAATGGCAACAAAGATGGAGGTATTATCCGAAATGCTTCACCTCAGAATAATTTACAAAACAATATTTTATAACGTTGTTGACCTTTCAGTGACAAAGGTATAGTCTCTCACACAATGATTATAAAAAATGCAATTTATTTTTTATTTTTTATTGCAGGTACCAAATTTTTGTGTTAAAAGTGATCGAACGTCCGAAAGAAGTGAAATTTTTAAACTATCGTCCGCGAAAAATCAAAAGTAGGTGCCGCTCGCGTCCGGTAATAATAAAATGTGTGAGTGCGAAGTGCAAATTCATTGTGGGACCCAGGAGAAACTTATTGGATGGTCATTGGAAGAATACTGCATTCATGACGGGGCGTCTCCTTACAGCAACTAAAGGTACTAAACTGTTAATTTATCTTATCAAAAATTTAAAGCTCTCTTGTGTTAAAAGAAATAAAATAAGAGATGGTACTAAGTTATACACAAAAGGTAATACTTTTTCCAATAAAAATGATAGCAAGTATAAGAACTAGTTATAAACAGTAAACATTTCAACTAATTTCAATGTTGCAATTAGAAATTAAATTACCTGTGACATAAAGGCAGTGTTGCCAGCTTTTCATTTTCAATTTTCCCTTCACCTAATAGAAATTTTCCCCTTTTTTTTTCATAAGCTGTAATTGCTATTAAAAGGTACAGTATACAACAAAAATTCAAAATAATACACAATAAAATACACATGTAAATTCAATCGCTAAAGTTAAAAAAGAAACAAACAAATAAAACTGAGCAGAAAATAAATTTTGAAGAGAGAACATGAACATCAGTTTTCCCCATGAAGTCCCAATGTTTACAGTTTTTACCTTTTTTCCATGCTGCTCAATTCAGGTGTTCTTCCCATGTGGTAGCAACACTGTAGAAATAAATTGCTTTCTGTAGGGTAGATGGCGTGAACCTTACAAACAGCGGATAATAAATAAACGTTATTGCATGAGGAATCATCAAGAAATTATTTTCAGTATCGCTTCTCGGCCTTTTGGCTAAGATCAAAGTGTAGTATCTGTTCTTATCAGCTTAATATCTGATACGCCCCGCATGCGGGGCCAGTATATTAAACTGATTTTTGGAAATTGATGGAGATTTAAGAGCTTGCTCTATCTCCGTCGCGGGTTGGCCTAGCATTGCAGTACCGCTAGGATCGGCCCAAATAAACTAATACAAACATAGGAAATCATACATGTAACCAACTAACAACGAAGTATTCGTGTAGATAATAATTCTAGTTCATATCTATACTCACGAAATTCCCTACGTAAAACTATTCATTAAATTATGTTAGATATCAGAAACTGCTGCTCGTTAAAAATAAACAGTACGATACAACATACAAAAGAAATTCTATTAAAAACATTTTCAGACATGATTGTTTAACATTTGATTTTCTTATTGTTACAGGTAAGTTAGATCATCGAGGGAATTGCTGTAGATAACTTGCAATTGGACATGTGAGTTGTTTCCTCCTAATTTTTTTTAGGTCGCGGAGTGTTCGCTGTCCGGTAATGTTAATTGTATGAAAGTTAGTTTGTTAAAGGCAAACTTTTCAAGAAGATAAGTTACACATTATAATGCAATTC